TGACTTGCAATTGCAAGACAGAATTTTGTTAATGTAAGAACACTTCCAGTTGTTAGTCAATTGCTGTATATTTAAGTACATAGTCACTGTGATCAGGATATTTTCAGAAGACTTTTGTCCCTTCCTTGTCTACTGCCTTATTTCTATCATGAGATTTTTTGAAAATCACACACCATTCCACTACATTTTTCTTGAAGTTTTATTAATGAACTCTTGTTCTTTCAGTGGCATTATAATTTTAATTTATTTGCTACAGTTATTTAATGAATTCATATAACTTAAAAATTCATAACTCAAATATTCTCATCTGAAAAGTGCAAATTGTTATCATATGTAATAAGAAAGAAGGAAACACAATTCATCTAGAGGCAATCACATGTATATTTCATTCTTGAACTGTCTCTGTGGCATGGTCATAATTAACCCCATTAAAGTTTTCTAAGAGTGAAGATTCAGAAAGATTAGACAAATTCAAGGTAAGGCTAATTTGTCTTTTTACTGTTGAGTGTAGAAAACGTCTTTGATATTTTTGAGTGATGAAATATTTTAATAAGCTGCTGTGGCTGCCATACTGCATGCAATATCAGCATCATTTTTATTTCTAATAAACTAGACACAATTTGAGGACTTTTGATGAAAATCCCATTCAGAATTAGTGACAGGATTTTCAATATGTTCATTGTGGCAACGATACTGGTAGCCTACAGAGCATCATTTTAATTTAAAACCAATTAGACATCATAGCAAGTCTTAGGTGAAAACTGTAGGTTGACATGATCTTAAATTATGGCAGAGCAGTGAAAACAGGATTTGAAAAGAACCTTATTCGATTTTAGATTAACATAATTTTCATTTAAGACCAACTATACACCATCAGAAACCTTATGTCTACAAGATTTTTCATTTTGGAAGAGCAGCAACAAGATGTTCAAAATGGCTGCCATGGTGGCCATATATGGCATCAGATTGGTACTATTTTTGTTAAGGCCCAACTAGATATCATTAGACTGATTTAGGAGTAGCAATAACAAGATTTCCAAGATAGTTGCCATGATAGCCATACAGAATGTTCGATCAGGTATAGCAATAACAATATTTCCAAGATGGCTTCCATAAAGGATGTTAGATAAGCACCAGTTTCATTTAGTACCAAGGAGATATAAGAAACTTCTAGTGAAAACCCCATTTTAATATGATTGTTCATACAGAATAAGAATTTCAAGAGAGCTACTATGGTGACCAAACTGGAAACCTGTATCATTATAGTTAGGGATCATGAAGATAACAATTAGTCATTAATGTAAATCCCATTTGATATTCATTCATGTGGAGTAGTGATAACATTTTCAAAATGGCCCCCGTGGAAGACATCAGTAATTTGATATTTTCTTATACTAAATGTTTTTTAACTAAGATGTAAAACATATTACATGAAAATTATTTTTAGTTAACCTAGTTTGTCTTGGGTTGACAAGAACATAAACAGGCAGTTAAAATGATTGTTCGGTATACTTTCCCTGCATGATGACCATGTGTAAACAGCACTATTTAATTATTGGTCTTTAAAAGTGGGGCTACATTGGTGTACGTCATGGATTTCTTGTAGTAAGAAACCACATGACACATCTCGTGCTAGTTTTATTTGTTGCCAGATTGTTTGTTTTTCATATGAATTTTGGATTTAATAATTTATTCTCCTAAAAACTCAACAAGTTGCCTTTGTTATAAAAAAATTCTGAAACTTATTCATGGAAATATATTCTGGAATTATTCAGAAACAAAAACTGATTCAATTAAGTACATGTTGCTATTCGTACATTAGATAACATCTGATGTTATCGCCTTCCATATTTGTATTTCGTCAAAATTCAAACCTTGATTCTATTAGAACTATTCAGTGATAGGACTTGTATTTTCATTCCTAGGATCAAATTTTGGATTATTTTCACAAACTGTAAGTCCTATTTACCAAGTTTTACATTGTTTTCTAGGGAAAAAAATTGTTTTGTAAAAATATTCAAAGCTTGTTTACTAAACTCTTCTGTTACATTTGAACGAGCCTATACGTGACAACTGAAAATGATTTGTATTATTCTTAAAAAAGTAAATGTAAAAGTTACATATATTGCAGTAGACAATATTTATATTTGTAGTTCCAGTTTGTATAGTAATAATCTGTTTTATTTTAGTAAATAAGAAAAAAAATTTAAAGCTGGTCAAGAACTTATTCATGTACAAGGAAATTTGCTCCAAAAGATGCTAATGTATTTAATATATCTGGCTTATCTTCATGCTGCTTTAGAATTAAATTAATTAAAAAATTAATATTCATAAATAATTTAGAAGTATACTGTTGTACATAATAAATTTAAAGTTCTATTGTGTTCATTGAATGGAATTTTGATCAATAATATCTGTCAATGTAAATACTGTATGTAAATGCATGCTTAATATATCGGAAGATAATTATCTCAAACCATTGTTTCTTTATTATTACATTTTTATATCCCCACCCTCCTTCAGAAAAATGAGATAATCAAGAATCACACAAGTGTCTGAAAGATCATGATGATAAATCATTTGGCACAAGACAACATTAAAGTGTAAATTTTTTTCCAACTTTAAAATAATGCAGTATGGGATTCAGTGCTTTTTATACATGAAAAATAATATGCATCAAAGCCCAAAAGTTGTGGGGTTCTCCACCCATTACTTTTTACATATATTTTCAATTTCAATTCTTTAGTTTTCCTTTCAAGCCATGGGCAGGACATGCTATTATATGCAAAGAATAAAAACACAAGTCCTATCACTAAATACTTTTTTGCAAACAAGCATGTTGTAATTGCCATCAACTGTTTCCTTACTCAGCCGCTCGTACACGCAACCACAAAAAAAATCTTTATCAATCAAAGTTTTGTCTAAGTTTCAGGAAAGGAATAAATCTAATTCCTCCATTTTGAGGATCTGGATATTGACAGTCAGAATTGCAAGGCTCCCACTACCTTCTTTTCATCCTTATTGGTTGAGAAATCAAGAAATCACTGCAAAAACTGTAGATACTTCGCAACTAATTCATTATTGCCACAAGCAGCTTGTTGGTGGAAAATGACACATTTAAGCAATGCCTGCAGGTGTGTCTAATTTATGCTTGCTGATTGGTTTAATTCATCAGCTTGATTGACAAGTGGTGATAGGTCAATTAGACATCATAAATTTTCTTGTGAAAACCTCATGCTGATATGACCTTCTATGGGGAGGATTTTAAAGATGGCTGCTGTTGTGGCCATATTGGACAGCATTCCCCAGAATAAGTCTTTAAGTAAAAGCACTATGTGTATATGCCAATCCATTCAGAAACTATACTGATGTCAAGACTGACTGAGCATAAAAAATTTTCATGTGGGACCAACTTAAATTTTCTGGTGAATACACTATGCTGATATATGGCTTTCCTTTTTGGAGTATTAATAGCAAGATTTTCAAGATAACTTTAGCTAACAGATGGATGGATGAGCCAACAGATGGATGGATGAGCTAATAGATGGATGGATGAGCCAACAGATGGATGGATGAGCTAAAAGATGGATGGATGTGCTAATAGATGGATGGATGAGCTAACAGATGGATGGATGAGCTAATAGATGGATGGATGAGCTAACAAATGGATGGATGAGCTACTAGATGGATGGATGATGGACAACAAGCTATAACTATTAGAGCTAGAACGAGATGTATGATCAAGTTCTCTGTGGAGTTGGACATTTTTGTGAACTAAGTGCTTTATGAAGGTATAAGAAACTTCAATGAGGTTGATACAACCAAACTGTCAAGAAAAGAAAAACACAATAAACAAACATATAATTACATTAGCATTATCCTCATACTTCTCAGAATAATTATAAAGTTAAGTTTAATTGCAGTAGCAAATGATATGTCACCAAAATTAAATTCACATTTTTGTTTTTTTAAGTATCATAAATGAAGATTTTCTTTTGTGCAAATTTATTGAAAGAACACAAACTGAAGCAAAACTGATCAACAAAATATGAAAAGAAATCTGATAGTGTATATAAAGATTTCATTGAAATGAATCAAAGCAAAAAGATCGTGTATATATAAACTTCATTGAAATGAACTAAAGCAAAAGTAATGAATGTACTCTGTATATCGACTATGTCACGTATATATAAGGTGACATCATGTCTAAAACTATTAATGAAACAAAAAAGCCAATAAGTACTAATAAATTCTGAATGAACACAAATAAAAATTTAAAAATATATACTGTGTACAAAACAGATAATTAAATATATATATAATTATGCATTATCAAATGTTATAGACTTAAATTAGTATAAATTTAGTCTTAAAGAATAATAAATGTTATTTGATTATTACTGGTATCACTTGTGTGCTATTTGTCCAAAACCATCATACCTGAGGATGGCTTTAAGTGTTTAATTAGGTTACTTGCAATTCTAATCTTTAGCTTTTATGATATACAGTACTTTAAAGTTCGAAATATAAAGCACTTGTAAGTTTTCAATGACTTTTAAATTGTAAAGAAAAATCAAGATATTAATGTTCATTTTCTGAAAGTAAGGTCTGTTGAGTTTCATCTTTTCGTCATGATTTGAACCTTGAAAACATGTTACACAAAAAGCAGTCAAATAATTTACATTGCATCCCTGTAATTATCACAGGCTTTGAATGTTTTCATTACCATTGTTTAAACAAAGATATTCATTGTGTGTGTGTGTGTGTCGTTTAGATTTTTAATGTAGCTTTAACAATTTTTCAGTCATATCGCAACAATGTCTGCAGATTGACAGTTTACAGTGATGTCTAGCACTGCGGCATCATGCTGCAGATATGTAGCATGATGTCTCACCCAGTCACATTATCCTGACACCAGGCCAACCAGTCCTAACACTAACCTCTTAATGCTGAGCATCAAGAGAGGAAGCTGTTAGTACTATTTTTTAAAATCCTTGGTATGACTCAGCTGGGATTTGAACACACTTCCTCCTGCATTTGAGGCCAGTGCTCTAACCACTAGGCCACTGGAGAAGTAGGTATTCATTGTCATTTTACAGTTTTATTGCCTTCTGTAATATGCTACAGCCAAAAGAGATATGACATTCACTAATGAAAAGTTGTCTGCAATATTTATCTGACAAAAATATGCACCCTTGAGGGTGCACAGGATATATTTGTGGACATGGTACAAAAATCTGCACGGAAGACATGAGTCTACACTGCGCGAAACACTGACATATTTTGTTTAAATGGGATGAAAAACAAATACTGGCTGTAGAAAATCTAAGTATCACAAAGAATCTTTATACAAATGTATTGACAATGTACTAAGTTTGGTTGCAATACCTAAAATGGTTTTGAGAGCTATACTCCGGAAATGAAAATATTTACTGGCAGTCAGAGTAATAGCTATATCCCAACGAAATGAATACATGGATGACAAAATGAGATACCCTTTACATAGTCTATATACTAAAGAGATCCCATTTACATAATATATATACTAAATGCAACAATTAAATAAACAATCAGAGATAACAATGTGCATCAACAAACTCAACTATACAAAAAAATTATTCATTTAGCTCTGTGATAACACATGTACAATAAGACAAAAATGCATCATAGAAATTTCAATAAGATAAAGCAAACACTTGCATTACTGGTACTTGAAACTGCACAATTATTTTTATTACACGAAACTTAAATGTATACTTATCGGACAATAAGCCCAGTAATCTAATATCTAATCTCCATGACAAAAGTAATTCAGTAATTTTCTTAACAAAGAAACTTATTTTACAGCAAATATTCTTACAATTAAATACAAATGAGTGCTGCCAATGAAAGATGTCCTTAAATTCACTAACAGAATTGTATGACTTGTGCAATTTGTTTTCCTTGTTTAGTATTTTTATTGAAATGATAAGGTAGTCTATTCATGAAATGTAACTCTAGCAAATGACTTGTTGATATATTAAAAGCTAAAAGGCAAAATTTGCATTGATAGACCATTCATTTCTCCTGTGAAATCCAGATAAAAAAGGCATGTTATCTGTGTTACACACTAAGTTATAGAAATCTTTCAGTACACATATAGGTGAAAAGAGCAAATGAATGTTTTGTTACTAAATAATTCTACAAGTATTTAATCTGTATTGTCTTGAAATGATATGCAATTAAAGTGTATAAATGCTAAAGTAATCTGTAGTAAACTTAAAGATTTGTACATTCATTTTGTTTTGATAAAATACATGTACTAACATATTCATTGGGCAATTAAGATCCATAAATAAATGATGTAATGAAGTGTAACAGTATTTAACACAATTTTATTGGGTATAACATGTAAAACATGGTTAAATCTGGAAACAAATGCATTACGTATTTTACACTGTAAATGATAAAACTTTAGATTTCAAATTTTTTTAATAAATAAAGGAATTATTCTTCCAACAAATGATATGATGTTCAATAGTTAAGAAAAATTAAGCTGGCTAAATTTGGAGTGTTATAAAGCATTGATAGTATCATCACGTTTCAAAAATTACTGGCCATTATCATAAAGTGAAACATGAATCTTCCTTTCCATGACAAACCTCAATATTCAGTATTCCTAGTTCTGACAAAATGCCCATATACTTTTAAGCAAAGGTATATATCTTCTAAAAATGTGATAAGTCTGCAGGTACTTCAGAAAATGTAAATAAATTGTAGCCCTTTCATGAGAGCTCTAATCACCACAAAAGTAAAAAAAAAAACTTCAATTTTAAACAAAATCTTGTTTAATTGTTGTCACTGATCATTAGCCGACATTGAAAAAAAACAACTTTTGCACCAATCATTTTGACTGGGCAATATTTCTCATTCAATCACTTTTTAGTTTTCACTTTTTAGTTAATCATTAAAATGGTACATATGAGGGAAGTTTTACCATAAACCAATGACATTCCAATTTTAATGTCTCACAGGATTTGCACATTTAAGATGTGTGCATGTTTCAATACCAAAGATAAAAACAGAAAAATTTTGGAAAAAAGATTTTACACACCGTTGCTTAAAATAGTGTTTAAATATTGGATTAACCATCAGAGAGGATGGCCAATATTTTGCAAAATGCTTGTGTCCTGTGACAAATACAACAGCGCCAGGTGTTCAGTAATTCTGAACACTGATAATAAAACCATGACATCACAAATGACATCAGGTAATGTCAAGGCTGACTGACTGAGGCATCCAAATGAATTTCAAATCATTTCACTACAATATTCTGTATTGTTTAATAAATCAGTATTTTTCATCATAAGATTTAAAGAATCTTATATTTGTGATAATTTTGAATTACATTTATTCAGGAATTCCATTGCAAGTGAGCACTAATCGGCTAGCATAGGATCTTTTGATATGTAGATACATGTAGCCATAATCTAACATATAATCCAGTTACATAACTTTCAAACTAATCTAGAGGCAAACAAATTTTAATATTTCCCCTGACAACTCCAAGTAGCAATAAACCAATCAGCTCTTATTGCATCCTTCTGTAGTCAACAAGAAAACAATATTTTTCAGGTGTGATTCAGCCGCATTCAGAAAGGTTACTTGCACAAAAATGTCCAGTCATTTTGATCAAATGTAAGAACTGTTAGAAAATGCAACATAACCTGTGCCTATTTTTTGAGAAAGTTGTGTCTAGGTTAGTGACTAACATCAGTAACGTAGTATTGGTGTATCTAAACTTGTACCTAATGCATTGGATTTCATCAAAAATGAAGAAGGAGAATATATAAGGAACTTAATTAGTGTATTAATGGCTCCCATGCTGCCATTATATGTTTTTGGGTGAGGTCACCATAAGCAAAGTTGTGCATGAAAAAAGGCACATTTTCAGTCACAAAGCTCGATAGCAAATAGTCACATGATACAGACTCTAATTAAATACAAAAAATTCATATTCCCACATGTCCTCAGAATACTTATCTTTAACACACTCTGTGATACCAGAGTCCTGCAGACTCTGGTCTATGTAAGCCAAACTCTTTTCCAAGTACTCCTGTTTGATTCCTACCAGCAGATGCTCGTGTCTGCCACAATTCAAGATGGGGACAAGCTTCAGAAATGGCATCTTTTCTTGGAGATGTGGACTGTCAAAAAAGTTTGGAAGCCGTCCATGGCGCAGTGCACTTTTCAAAAAGTGGATACAATCAGAAAATCTGTCTGGGAGATAGTGATAGTCCCATTGTCCTGGACAGCTTTCAAGGAGGAGAAAATTGACAACAGTTGTAATATGCTGAGCCGTCAGCTCCCCACGATAAAGGAGACTGTTCCTTGCCCCAGTTGTCAAAAGCACAAGAAGAATTTGTTGGACTGTTTTATGACAGCTGTCCACACCAGCCATTTTCATTTTTAACTGAACATTAGTCTGGAAGAGATCATCCAAGTCTCCGAAGGAAAGGGACCAAATAAATTCTGGATGGAAAGGTGTGTGAGTTACTGTGTTTTGTTTGAAACTATTCATTTCTGCCACTGGTATAGCATAAATCTGAGCCGCCTGATACCAACCCATAACTGGCAGTGGAAGTGCGGGGATCATATTGATTTTTATTTCTTGGACACCCAACCCAAATAGGCCCTTGGTATCCAAGGCAAGTACAAGATCTGCTGTAGCAGCCCTTTTAATCTGGAAAGGTAGTCGATCCATCAGTGACCTTGATCTCGTGTATAAGTTTTGAAGAGCAATATCAACCAGTTCTTCAGCACCTAACAGAAGCTCACTCGATGATAAACACTGTTTCTTCATTCCATTCACGCTGATGGTCTGAACAAACTTTGGACTTAATTTAAAACTTTCACTGAGGTTTTTGATACTAAGCATTATTTTCCCTGGAGGAATCCGGTTGTCAGAACTAGGAAGCAATACATCACTAACGCTGAGATTTTCCATCTGCATAACAAAGTGAATATCAAAGTGACTGGCCTTGGTCACTTGCAAACCCTTTGTTGCAAGCCCTGTTCCAAAAAAAGCAACAAAATGGATCCTGCTGGGAAGAGTGATCTGTTCAAGTTCTTTCTGAAGAAGCATTAGCGTGTAACTAACCACAAGAATTGAGGCCTTCCACTGCTCATGTTTTATGGAACAGAGCCTTTTTTGATAATGGAAAAGCTTCTTACTTAGTTCACTACATGTCTGCTCTTGACAATCAACATACTCTGGTTCCTTCCACCCCAAGCTCTCAAAATACTGCTCAAATGCCAACCACAGAGGATTCTTGATCTGAGATGTATTTTCAAATGAAAGAGAAAATCCAGGAGAACTGCCAAGTCTTGACCGTGACCTCAGAGCTGTGGACCTTCTTACAGGTCTTGGTGTTGCATAGACTTGACCACTGTCCAGACTCACGCCATTAATATCATTTGGTTTTAAAAGCAATTCATCAAGTTGTATCAACAGATCATCAATTGTGTATTGCAAAAATTCAGATATATCCACACTTTTGATTGTGGGGGGTTCTGCATGTATGTACTGCTGCCAAGCCAAAGCAACAATTACCCCTGTTTTTCCAAAATAGGTCTTTTCAGGTGGTTGTATTTCTGTACCTTTTTTTATTTCTTCCAATTCTGCTTGTTCTTGTTTAACTACTTTCTCTTCAACAGTTTCTTGTCTCTTTTTAGTCATATATTGGAAGATCCTTTTCATAAAAATAAGTACCATTAGCAGAGAAATCAAGCATCCTGTGATGACTGCACCCCAATACACTATAGTCAAAGGAAATATCTGAAACTGATACTGAAATTCTTGCACATGTATACATTCTTCCTTAATGATTGTTTCCTGATTTGTATCAGAAGAAAAGAAACCAACAAAAAAATTAAAAAGGTCTGGACCAAGATATTCTTTTAGGATAGTAATTGGGACATCTTCTTTTTCTGCATGTAAATTCTGTGACAAGGAATCTTTCTGATATAGTTCCTCTGGACAGCGCCATACATGAAGATCAACATCCAGTTGATAATATTCTGTGCCATTCAAACTCA